TCTGGCCTGTGCGCAACTCCAACTCCAAGTGGGGTGAGTAGGCGGCTGATCGCTTCCGATAAATTCTTCACATACGGAAGAGTTCGCCAAACGTTTTTGCCAGTTGGATGTGGCTTCTTCTCTCGTTTGCGTATGCATTAGTTGACAAAATTGCGCGGGTAATGGTTACCCATTCGGCAAATAAAACTCCTGTTCCAGTGATCGCATCCTCTTCCTCCGAGACTAATCATTCTTCATATACATATATATGATGGAGCGTCGCCCACAAATCAGTTACAGAACACATTTATCAGGTTGTTCCTTGGTACTCGCTTTCGAGCCCCGCCAACAATTGCTCAACGGCTACTAACAGAGGCATATGAAAGTTGCCCGTCAATGGCAACCAGCCTGTGGCGCAGTATTTAGAGCGTTGTACTTCTAACCAACAAGACCCTGGGTTCGGGTAGCAACTACTGGAGTTCAGTATGGCTGGCTAATGACAGCTTATAAGCCAGAAATGGCCATTCAAGTCCCTACTTTTTTGTCGGTTAGGTGTTTCTGCAGTTATGCCTATCTATATGGGCATACTGTCATTACTCATAAGCATAATAGAGACTGAAATGGCCATTTGTGGCTTATTAACCGTCATTTTTTGCTATACCCAACAGTTAGTGTTGCCATACACGAGGATATATATTTCGTTTTGGAATTTAGCCAATTTCCAGGACGCAAATTCATACTGCAGTTCCAAATCGGAACTTCCGGGGTGCATCTTGTTTTTGCATATTTTTGCCCTCGAAGTTAATGGTATTCTGGTACACCCGAATAAAATAAAAGTTTATGACGGTTTCGCCTTAAAATATCAATAACAACTTTAAGGGAAATAAAAGCGGGTCTTTAAACGCAAAGTTCGGTGTTCAGTTAAAGAGTGATACAACGTGGTATAATCCAGCTAACTGGAGACTAGGGTAAAAGTTCTAAACGCAATAATTTCTTCCCCTCTCTCTGCGCATGCTATGCGTGGTGTCGACGTAGAAAGCAGGAAATTCAGGCCAGTAAAGGGGACGTGCATCAGACCAGTTGGGTAAGTCAGCAGCCGATAGTCTCCTCGTCAGACAGTAACAGGAGAGACCCGTTTTATTTTTCATTAATTTACCACTAATATTGTGAAGACTCTTCTTTGCTTTGCTTTTAACAGGCTTAACCCGAATAGCCCGGTCAGAGGAAGAGTGTGTAACAGCAGAATAAATCCTCTTTTTAGGCAAAAGCCGTGCTCCAACATAGCGTTTACCAGCAAAAAGTGTCACATTTTAAGTAAGCATCCGTAACGTTTTTGTACGTCAGCCTCCTTATCAAAGCAGCAGTAATAATAGGGGTAAATAACCTGCATAGAACCAGATATTGACTCCCGTTCTGCAAGAATCTCCGACAGACTGCGGGTTCCAAGGACGTTGCGGAGAGTTGTGGCAGCCAAAAGTCTGGTGGACCGATCGGCATCTTCCACGTTAGTGACAGCAACAACAGGATTATATATGCGATAGTATACAACTGCATCAACAGCCACTGTAACTGAATCCTTTGTAAGGACCTGAAATCACGTAAGAACAGGATAACTCCAGGTTTTGCCGAAGATGCAAATGGAAAGGCAGGCAACTTCAAGCGAAAACAATCAACTTAGGGATCATCAATGGAGTCGAAATTTTAGTGGCTCCAAGGTGCTTGAAACAAGGAAAAAAGGGGCTTAACATGCGTGGCCTATTATGATTCAACTGACGAAAGGCTTCTCAAATGTATGTTCTGGGCTCTAGAAGTTGGGTTTTCAAAACGAAAAAGTGCCACTAAGACAGGTGTCACAGATAATTTCCAAGGCAACTTGCCGTACGGAGCTCCATGAATCCAGCTTACTGTATTTGTTTTGATTCTAACGCTTCTCGATACGTAAATAACATATAGCTGATATAAGAGACTGTTCGACTACCCTAAGCATACAGCAGATATCAATGTAATAGCGCTAAACGTGTATGTGACACAACCCCAACGTGCTTTTTACACAGTGGAACGAGCTGCGGCCCCGAGCGTATATGTAAGATTATTATTTTTCGAAAAATCTATAAAATAATTATAATTATGATAAATTATAATTGTTAATACATGTTTTTTAGGCGCTTTTTAAGGGAACCGTTACGAATGTTAAACAGAGCTCACTAAAACGCTACTAAGTTCAGATTATTCTTGTTCCTTCAGTAAGTCAAATATTTGTTTGCAGTTATGTCGATGTCTGATAGAATAAGACACCAAATAAGAACTTACAACCGATCTCTCTTTCAAAACAAAACAAGCAGGTGCAAACCAACTCACTTGTAAATATGCAAAATATAAAAGGCCAACTAAGGCCGTACATGTAAATGTCTTCAGTAATCCAAAGAAAACAGTGTTGATTGTTAAACTCAATTTGCATCTATCTACAACATCTGCAAGGAGACTGGTGAGCTTTGCGGGAGCTTTTTCTGTAGGACCAGAAATGGCTGGTGATAAGGCGAACGAGAGTGAACCATAAATTTTGACAGTTAAAGTTAACGTGACACTTGTCACATTCCATTTGGCAAAAGCATCGTGCTACGAGTTTGACAGTACTTCTTCGAGTTTTACAGCTTTCTGGGAGCTTTTTCTGTAGAACCAGAAATGGCTGGTGATAAGGCGAACGAAAGTCAACCATAGATCTTGACAGTTAAAGTTAACGCGACACTTGTCACATTCCATTTGGCAAAAGCATCGTGCTACGAGTTTGACAGCACTTCTTCGCAAAAGCCCATCACACACGCACGTGCAACGAAGTCATTATCCCCGGGGGAATGGAGGTAAAAAACATGTCTGTCATTTAAAAATATTTCGTGAATTTTGTTTTAATTTTTTACGCAAAGGCATCTTTCGGTTAGCTTAGATAGCATTTCAACCAGTTAGTTGTCCATGGAGGAAATGGTAACTTGATTCTAGAAACTTCTCAATTTACCGAAATTCTGCTTTTAGTCGGCCTAACAGGACTCACAATCTTCTCATGAAACTATAAAGGCAAGCCCCTTTTTCTGGCCAAAATCGTTCGTCAGTTCAAAAATAGCTTGGGGTCTTCGTGCCCTCAGCGAAATCCTTGTCCGAGTTAGTAACTTTCTGAGTCGTGACTAATGCTCCTTTGTTTAGCGATTCCGCGAAATTACCAACAGCTGACAGCAGGTTTTCGGTAATATTCATATTTAACAAAAAATCTGTAATTGTGTACACATAATACGTGTTTAGAGAAAAGTAATTCTTTTCCATCAACATAAATTATAAATTTGGAGTTAGGAAGTATTTTTGCTTAATTACCTCTTGCGGTGGAACATCAAAGGTTACTGTTCGTAGGTCAACCTTTCGGATATTGTCCAAGCAAGGCAGGACAAAGAAAAGACCTGGTCCCCGGGCGCCTTTTGGAAGAATACGACCTAACCGGAAGATGACTGCCCTCTCGTATTCAGCAATAACCTGTTAACGTAAAAAACATAATTTAATCAGGCTGTTACCAAAATTACCTGAAAATCAAAACAGGAATTTAGTTTTCATTCGTTTTTTGTGTTGTGTTGTTGTTTGTGCCTTAAGCTAATCTGTCAAACATCTTAACCTTCAATTGTCTACCTATAAATGCTCATCGCTTGCCTTTGTGCTCAAATTGGCAATGAACGCATGTATTTTTTCCATCATCATAGTTTATTTCTCTTAGAAGGCTGCAGATTAATATTGGTGGTGTTAGTCAGCCAGTTGGCCTTTCCTGAACCCTTTTTCCAAATAGGTTGCATTAGGACTAAGCGCCAATTCGACTTTTATATTCCAAAACTCGTCTTCCTGGCACACAATTGTCCACCATATTTATTTCGATTTTTCGATGCGTTTTTAAGTGCTACATCTTATTCGAGGCAACGATATTTTCGAAAAAAGGATCGACAGTTAATTGGCATTCCGTTGGTTGATAGACAAAGTCAGTCTGTGCATTGTCTGAGCAGATGCCATGAGCATGAGCCGCAGAATGCTTCCCCCCTGCCTCCCAATGACAAAACTCTTTCGTGCCTATGGCTCGAAACATACGAAGTATCATTAAAAAATATTCAATTTTCTTCAACGGCTATATAGCTGCAAGGGTATAACAGCCTAAACACAGGTAAATACAAGAAAAAGAAAGCGAGTTATTAATACGTAATCATCTACGTAATTGGAACTAATGCCTAAGATATAATAGGGCTACGCAGTTTGTAAAATTTTTGCAACTCTTGGAAAATGATTGGAAGCTTTTACCGTACGACTGACGTATCGACACAAGAGAATTAATGCTTAGATGTAGACAGTGAGTTAAAGCGTACTTTTCTAAACCGAATCACGTTGGAAGGGGTGAATGCCGTTTGCAGTTTAAAATGCAGTAGTTTATACTACGACGATTAATAAGCTTTTTGAAAGTGCTCCTAGTCGCTCATAAGATCTTCAGTGAGTTGTTTATTTAGTAACTAGTGCATGCATCCGCAGAACAGACTTAAACCCATAAGTCAGAATTTTATTCGGCAGATTTTATCATCTACCGTCCACCTGCTTTCTAAATGCGCAGTGTGTCCACTGGCAAGTAAATTGTCTAAAAAAGTATCACCTATACTTGCGAATTTTCTCGTTATCAGTCATATAGCCCCACGTGGTTATTACGTTGCAAATACACGATACAAATCACGATATGAATACACGATTTTAGTTCAAATAATGTTGTTAACACAAAATGTATATCTTCGACTTTCGCGAATTTTCATGCGCATAAACTATTTCACAATTTGACGTTTTAAAATCAATTTCAATGCAAATTGGAATTTGAAGAAGAGGTTCTTTGGTATACAAAGTAACTGAGCGCATTTTTGGGTTTGGCGCACCAACTCGTTTTCGGACCAACAGGAAAGTTGCAATGAACAACTAAAATGTCAAAACTACCGAAAAAATCAATATTTGTATGGGGTGAGACGTGATTGGTAGGTGTTGCCTCATTTAGTCTCTTTCGTGCGGCCTCTATCTTTTCCATCATTCTTTGACGTGCTTATAAGTACCATCCAAATCTACGTGCCGGTCGATGCATAAACCGTCAGAGTGCATGGCTTCGAGGAATCCTCGGCCATTTTTGGAGGGGCAAACTCCGACGATGCGAGTTTCGGGAAAAAAATCAAAAA